CATGAACGGCAAGCAATCATGAAAACATCCATTTTCACGCCTCACCCCCGATCGTCATGCCATTTGAGATTGTGTCGTTACGCCGTCGTTATGCAGCAACGTCAATTGACAGACCAAATTCAAAATCAACTTCAAAGCATTCGTCCAGAAAGTTCAAAAGTTTTATTCCACCAGTTTGTTATGCCATCGTTATGCAGCAACGTCAATTGACAGACCAAATGAGACTCTTTGATCGTTGCACAAGTCCATTATATCTGTAGTCCATTTTGTCGTTCCTTCATAAATTATTATTCGTTTTCTTTGAACTGAAACATCGCGCGGATGATTTTTACTTGTGAAAACGTACTTTTTTGAACGCTACATACAAGAAACAATACTCGCAATTATTCGGTATGCGTCCATAAATATCTTCATAAACAAGGATTACTTTCAAGAGTGCAGCCAACATTGGCGCCAGAATGTTGAGGGTGCAAAAGTGGGATGGAACTTGGAAACAGCTTTTGTTCTCTTCTTTTATTCAGAGAAAGGCGAAAACCAGAATGTTCGGGTGGATTTTTCTACGCTTGTTTGTTCTTCCTTCTCGCCTTCCCACCTTTTCCTCCCTCTTCCTTTCTCTCATTTTCCAGTCAGAAGAGGGGAAGCAAAGCCTCTGCACCCGTTTTGGGCTCCGATCCTGCTTTTTTTTGTATGTCACACGGAATACCCTTGTGAATATTTCCCGGAAGATGTCGGATCAGTTTCAATATCTCGCGTGAGTTTCGTGGATGTGAATGCACACGACTGAGCGGCAACCCATCGCCTGTAAATATTCGTTGTCTTCGAGTGTGCTGACTGTTTCAATCGCTATTCTATGGTTTCTAAAACGGTAATACGAAAGAGAATGTCAAGCAAATATGCAACAAAACGACCAAACGAATAATGTATGCAAAATTATGAAGTCGCCTATGAAAAGATAAATGACCATACACATAATCATAACTTACAACTTATAAGTTATAACGTCGATTGAACACATCAATTAGATTGTTTGCTTGCAAACAACATTATAATCAACGCGTCTTATTACATCTCAGAAAAGTATTCGCGAAATCCAATAAAGTTCCTCACATGAAATGATGTGATTGTTGCTGACTGCACGTTACGACAGAATATTCATTTCATGACGATGAAATGCAGCTTTGAATATCAACGTTACGTAGCGTTCAGTTATTCAGTTAATGGAAAACCAAATTTATAGGACATTAATATTCAACAACATCTCGTAATGGCAAACATCAATAAATTATCCTGCTCATACAACCACGCAATTTCACACAAATATTGGAATGTGTATTAAAAATATCGTATTTTTGATCGAAAACAGCATCAAACGTCGTTTCCTACGTAACACAATATACGCCCCAACTAAATTTCCAAAAGCAATAATTATTTCTTCAAATCGACCAAGAAGTAGAATGCTAAAATGTCCTCGAACGTATTATTTCTGTCGAAATACGTCATTGTTGGGAGTGTGTTGCAGATTGGATTGGCTTGGTGAATCCAAAATTTAAGTAAGTTGAAAATTCGATTGTTCATTTTTTTTAAACTGCGACTCAAAAAATGTTGTGTAGGATTTGAGACGAAACAAATATGAGCGTAAAAATTACGAAGAATGCATCCAGTTAACCAGTTACTGCTGGAACTAGAGTGAATGTGGAAATTGTGGAATAGCTTCTGACTACTGATAACATTTCCGCCCGTGAATTTTGAACGATATTTTGAGGTGTTTGCTTCGCAATTAGTATAAGTGTTTTGGGCATTTCAGTGGGAGTGGACATTCTACTGCTGCATTAAAGCTCATTCACTGAAAACAAGTGAGTCTTGAATGATTGATATACATCTCCTCTGACAACACCCATCGAAATTTATCCATCGAAAAAAAAAGCAATCCGATAGGCTGTCAGTGAGGCTATCATCTGCAGAATGTTGTAGAGAAACAAGCAAACATTGCAGCCGTTCCTCTGCAAACGGGAATTATTCTTCCCGAACCTATTTCCCACTCAATTCTTCGGTGAGAAGATCACTCTCCTCTATCTTCTTCAACATAAATAGCCATATACACAATTACATGCAAAATATTGTGCTTCTTAAAGGCAGTAAAGAATATCGTTCATCAGCAATGGTGATTGTGAAGGGAATGATGGTTTTCGTTCATTGCCATTACATTTGTTATTCTGAAATGATTGTTGAATACATTAGTGGAGGAACGTTTGACATCGTTTATATTGGCTGTCACTGAGCCGAATAAATTACTGCTTGATGATATCTCTTCGAATTAACTTGTCAAATTTTGGGCATCATAATATGAATATTACTTAATGCACTTGTCACTATATTGTGGATCGCTTTAAGAAAATGTATGATTCTTTAGAAACGCGAAAAATAGATATCTTTTCCATTTTAACAAGCAAAAACTGCGGTCGAAACAATGTGTTTCTAGTTTTAGGGATTATTTTCAGTTTCATGAAATTCACTACAATCGTGCGTCATTCTGCAAAGCTCTAGAGCGTAATTTATTCAGAATTGAAAATCCACTGCAGAAACTCGCTCGAAATTGATCAACCTCATTATCAGTTCAAGAGCTTAACTGACCGCATATTTCAGGATGACAATTATTTGTATGAAAAAAAATTCCGAAAATTGCACGCCTTAACCCTCTAAAAGATACCACTCCTTCTGAAAACAATTATTATGAAATTTTTGTCGGAGAAAAATTAGTCTGAAAGATTGTCGGCCCAAACTGTTCGTTCGCCTGGGGTGTCGCAGTGCGTGAATTTTGAAATTTTCATGGTCTTGCCCTATGAATTGGTATTTTTTTAATGACAAGAATTAACCTCTGTGAAGTTCATCGAAGAAAAATTAAATCAAAAAGTCGCGCTATCTGAATTGCGCGATTAGGCGACTCGGGCAAAAAATCACGTTGACTCACCGTCAATGACCATTCACACAATGTGCATTACAGTGAAATTCCGAACATGTATTTCTATACTGAAAGATATTTTTTCTTAAATTCGCAATAAAATGTCACCCTGACACGCACACACAAACATAAATTCACTACATTGTGAAAATATGGTATATTCTCTATCATTTAATGAGTTGAACTAAATTTCACGAGAAAGCGATCACGCAGGTAAAATAAAACTAATACTAAAATGCTCATGGATCCGTCGAACAGAAATAGAGATCACTTATGCCATGAATCAAATAAAAATCGCTGATTCATTTGTTGCAAGCATCAATTTGCTGTGATTCATTTGGATGAGAAATACGACAGTCGATTAGTTTTGAATGAGCATCAATTTAAATGTTCATAATTTTATTGTTAATGGTGAATGCAGATTAAAGAATTCCAAATTTCTAAAATTCACAGAGTCTAATAATGATGGAGATGGCGAACAATTATCGAGAGCAGTTTCAAACGATCAGCTGACAGCTGACTAAAAGCATCATAAAAATCTGTTACTCTGACATAATCAAATACTTTCATTGAAATCATACAGTCATCGAAAGTAAAATGTAATATTTACGCTACAACCGTTCTACCGAATCCTAACCGTATCATCAAACAGTGGAAGCCCAAATCACAAAAAAAAAGATCACGTATTGGTGGGCAAAAACAAATTTCACAACACAAAGAACGCATGACTGTACACTTACCACTAACTCACTCAGTTTCATAACCAGTTACCAATAATTAATTTTTTACAACGAAATATACTTGGAGCAAGTTATAATAAAATCACACGTAGAAAGAATATGAAGAATAGAACAGGATGAATATTCACAAAGAATGCGAAGAATAAAACAGGATGAATATTCACACCGATAAACACCAAAGATTTTGGATAAACGCAAGTCTGGAAACATTTATGCATGAACCATAAGTAGAACTGAGGAAATGGGTATGCTAAAGTAGAAATTGAAAAAACAGCTTATGCAAACACGTAATTGGGAAACATAGAGAAGAGCAATATGAGTGGACGGTAAAACTAGACAGTCTTCCACGATAGCTGCACAAAACGTTGCTTGAATTGACCACAAAAGCATATCACATTTGTTATTACTGATGTCGTCATAAAATTGCCATAGCACCACCTGGCACAACAGATTTCATAGAACAAATAAAATGCTGTAAGTTCAATATTTTTTCTGCAAAAATTAATTCCTTTCAAGCAATAATCAGCTGCAAATAACCAACAACGTTTCATCAAGGAATCAAATCAACTTAAACGTTCGTAAATGGTGTCAAAAAATTATTACGAAAAAACATCTTTGAGATGTGAATATTTCGACGATGAATCCTTGAAGGCAATTGATATACAATAGTGGTCAAGTAGTTGCACCAAAAGTTCACGTTCATCCAGGAATTCGATCGCTTCGATTCTAAATTCCGACGGCAATCAATTACTCAAACAAGGAAACTTATCAACGAACCACTTTTGAGCAGAACTTCAAATTCTCGAATAGAAACGAAACCAGTAATATATTCCACAAGTTGACTACATTTATATAAAAAACAAAATAGAGTTGCTTCATAAGTCACTAAAATTCAGCTGATTGATCGACCTGAGATGAGGCAATAAATCATGAAATGCACACCTGGTAACTTCATTTTTTGGCAGCTTCGTTTTATAAATCTCACTCATCGTCCATATATTCACACTCTCCCATTTGTTGTCCAGAAAACTGAAAGAACGTGGAAACACCACTGATTAATAAGTACGCACACGACGATATAAAAAAGAATACGACAAAATCCTTTATTTTTGTGCGCGTTTGCAAAAATATTAGTACAAATTACCAACCGCTGTTTCTGAGATTCGAGACTTTTACAAGACGAAAGACCCGGCAAAATAATTCCGCGCTGTTGTAGATTTCTCTCCATCACTCCACCAAATGTATCGCCCATTTCAACCTGATTGACATTTAATTGATCGCGCAATACAAGTGAAAGATCCACAATGAAGGCATTGGCTCTACAGCTTCAACAATTTTCAATTATAATCCACCTTCAACCGATGATGTCGGTGATGAACTCTACATAAACTCCCTTCAGTAATTCACGTGTTCAATGTCTCTCCGATGTAATGCGATGAAATAAATGAATATCGNAAATCATGTTGGGTAAATAAGCAAACCAACGTGACGACAATTTTAGGAAGCTCGATTCATGTGAAATGAGGATGTGATCGATAATTAAGTGCTTGAAACACACTTGTTCATAATTGACAAAGAGTGCCGTTTTGAACCAAGTGGCAATTTCGTTGAGCAGTTGGCCACTATGCATCGCACTCATATACACCAGAACACACTCGGCAATGAACAGCGTCGGCATATCGAAATCAAGACCGGATGCCTCAAGTTTGCTCTTCAGTTCCTTCGGTTGCCGCAAATCAGCACCTAACAGCTGATAATCACCCGCATGCAGATCCGAGTGTTCAAATTCACTAGCTGCAAGCAAACTACGGTCACTTCATTTAGAATATGATCTCTAAATGAATACAATGGCAAAATTTTACAACGAGACGAAACAATGATTAAGATACTAACATAAATGTACTCTGCAGTGTTACCAGGGCTGAGAGTACGAATTTAGAAATTTGAGCAACTGACGATGAGCAAACAAAATGGATTGATCGTTATTGTGAATAATAGACTTAACAACAAAAAGAAAACAAACGTTTCTCTGAGAACATGGCCACTAGATCTGGTGAACCCGGCTTACGAATTTGACGAATTTTCTTCGCAGTCACCGAGCTAAAGTCGACTTCGACATATTTATGGAATTTGGCTTTCGAGTCTTTCAAACGCCAATAAAGTGTATCGAATCCTGAACCAATACTCACAATTTGGCACGACGGTCCAGCTAACTACAAATAAACAACAAAAAGCATACAAAACAACTGATCTGTCAATTAATACTCTTCGCAAATCATATCAAAACAACGATTCAATATTAACATTTGAAATA